TCTCACACTGAGCCTTATACTTGATGTTTATCTAGCCTGACTGGCCCCAAATTCCTAGGATCGCTTTGTCTCTGCCCCGACACAGAAGCTACAGGTGTTTGTAATCATGACAGACGTTTTTCTTTTTTTACGATAGAGTCTCACTATATAGCCCTGGCTAGCCTAGATCTCACTATGCAGAAAAAGCTGATCTCAAACTTACAGACATCTGCCTGGTCTGCCTACCGAGTGCTGAAGTCATGTGTTTGTCTGTTTTAATGTAAGTGCTGAGGATTCAAACTCAGGTCTTTGTGTCTGCAGAAGAAATACTCTCACTCACCAACCCATCTCTCCAGGCTATATTTTCTTTCTTTACAACGAAGTCTCTTATAGCGCTGGCTGGAACTGTACTATGTATCAGAGATAACTGTCTTAGTGTTACTATTGCTGTGATGAAACACTATGAGCAAAAGCAACTTAGGGAGGAAAGGGTTTACTTGGCTTACATACCCTCAGTATTGAGGGAAGCCACAGCAGGAACTCAAATCAGGCAAAAATCCAGAGGCCAGAGCTGATGAAGAGATCATGCTGCTCCTCAGAGTTTCTCAGCCTGCTTTTTTTGTTTGTTTTGTTTTGTTTTGTTTTTTGAGACAGGGTTTCTCTGTGGCTTTGGAGGCTGTCCTGGAACAAGCTCTTGTAGACTAGGCTGGTCTTGAACTTAGAGATCCACCTGCCTCTGCCTCCTGAATGCTGGGATTAAAGGCGTACGTCACCACCGCCCAGTCACCACCGCCCAGCCCTTGGCCTGCTTTCTTATAGAACCCGGGATCAATAGCCCAGGATGATACCACCCACAAGGGGTTAGGACCTCCAACATCTATTACTAATTAGAAAATGCCACTGGGCAGTGGTGGCGCACGCCTTTAATCCCAGTATTCGGGAGGCAGAGGCAGGCAGATCTCTGTAAGTTTGAGGTCAGCCTGGTGTACAGAGCAAGTTCCAGGACAACCTCCAAAGCAATGCAGAGAAACCCTATCTCAAAAAACAAAAACAAACAAAAAGAAAAAAAAGAAAGAAAGAAAGAAAGAAAGAAAGAAAGAAAGAAAATAAGAAAAGAAAATGCCCTATAAGCTTACATACAGTCTGATTATATGGAAGCAACTTCACAATTGAGGGCCATTCTTCTCAGATGACCCTAGCTTAGTGGTTCTCAGCCTTCCCAATGCTGCAACCCTTTAATACAGTTCCTCATGGTGTGAGGACCCCCAGGCAGTGATGATGCATCCCTTTGATCTCAGCACTTGGGAGGCAGAGACAGGCAGATCTCTATGAGTTCAAGGCCAGCCTGCTCTACAGAGCGAGTGCCAGGATAGGCTCCAAAGCTACACAGAAACCCTGTCTCAAAAAACAATAACAAAACAAAACAAAACAACAACAAAAAAACCTCACCATTTTTTCATTGTGACTTCATACCTGTACATTTGCTACTGTTATGGTTCACACTATAAATACCTGTGTTTTCTGAAGGTATTTATTCTGAGGCAACTCCGTTAGAGGTGGTGGCCCAATTGGTACAGGTTGAGAACCAATGCTCTAGCTTGTCATGCTGACATAAAATTAGCCAGCCCAATAACCTTTAGGGTAACCTTAAAGACCCAATTCAGCCAGCCAGTGCTGGGATCACAGCATCTCACTATGTAGCACTGGCTGGCCTTGAACTCACAGAAATATACCAACCTCTTTCTCCCAAGTGCTGGGATTAAAGCTGTATGGTATACCATGTCTGGTTTATTTATTTATTTTTAGACAGGGTCTCCCCCAGCTGGACTGGCCTTAAATTTCTTACTCTCTGCATCTACCTCCTTGAGTGCTGAGATTACAGGCATTGTTCCAATGTCCAGCCTGTATTGTGTATTTAACTGCTCACATTTGAAGACCTCTGTGTTGTCTGCCAGTAAATCCTCCTGGACAGTGTCTTCATGGCTTATACCTTGCATTTGGCATAGAGAAATAAAGAGTTTGTGGAATGACAACTGTCCCGCGCGCTGTATTTTCTCGCCGGCAAGAAATACACGCAGGACACTCGGATCCTTCTGCAGACAAGCTTTAATGCATCTTGAGAGTTGGAGAGAGCATAAGCTTACCAGAGCGGAGACACTGAACCAAGAAAACCATCCCTTATAAAGGCTGGCCAGCCGCCTGGGACGTGTTACCCTATGAATGGCTTCAGCTCCTCAGGCCAAATGAGCCACGGGATAGGCAGAGATCAAAGGAATGGAGATTACCCAGCGCCTGTTGAAGTAATTTACATCTTGGTGTCTTTAGGCACCATTATTGTAATGGAGGATGCAGGAAACGGCCCCCTACAGACAACAATGTTGTCCTTCTCTTGCTACCTCCTCCTGGGAAGTGGTTTTAATCTTTATATATATATATATATACATTTCTGTGACATATATATATATATATATATTTATATTTCTGTCTGCATGTATGCCTGCATGCCAGAAGAGGGCATCAGATCCCATTATAAATAGCTGTGAGCCATCATGTGGTTGCTGGAAATTGAACTCAGTCCTCTGGAAGAGCAGTCAGTGCCCTTAACCTCTGAGCCATTTCTCTGCCCTCTGGGGTTAATCTTAAAAGATCATAGTTGCAGCTGGGCATGGTGGTTCACATCTGTAACCCTGAAGCTGGGGAGGCTATAACAGGAAGGTCCTACAAGGCTGAGGCCAGCCTGAGATACAAAGTGAAACCCTGTCCTAAGTCCCTAACCCCTAACACCAATTAAACAAATAACAAATGCACGACATTGTTCTAGTGTGTCTCTGCTCCCCTGTGAATCCTTTCTGATGGGTTTCAAAGAAATCTTTGGCACGGTCCCATCCCTCATTCTCTTCAGGGGCGTAGTGATTCACTCATTCATTTACAAGTATTTTTCTTTTTTGAGGGGGAGGGGTTGAGGCAGGGTTTCTCTGTGGCTTTGGAGGCTGTCCTGGAACTCTTGTAGACCAGACTTTGCTTTTGTTTTAAAATTTAAAGATTTTTAAGTTTTTTTATTTAACACTGGGCATGGTGGTATACACATTTAGTCCCAGCACTGGAGGCCAAGATAGGCAGATCTCTGTGAGTCTGAGGCCACCTGATCTATACAATGATTTGCAGGCCTGTTGAGGATATACAATGAGACCCAGTCTAAAGAAAAAAAAAAAAGCCTAGTGGTGCATGCCTTTAATCCCAGCACTCAGGGGGCAGAGGCAGACACATCTCTGGGTTCAAGGCCAGCCTGGTCTACAGAGTGAGTTCCAGGACAGCCAGAGCCACACAGAGAAACCCTATCTCAAAAAAAACCTAGAAAAAATAATAACAAATGTCTTTTAAATTATTTTATTGTATGTATAGCTGTGAAGGCATGAGTGTATGTTTACATACTACGTAAGCTCAGGTGTCTCTGGTGGCCAAAAGTCGATGGATCTCCTGTAACTGGAGTTGCAGTTCTGTTGGTGCTGAGAACCAAACACTCTCTCTCTCTCTCTCTCTCTCTCTCTCTCTCTCTCTCTCGTTTTTTTTTTTTCAAGACAGATTTTCCCAGCAGGATTTCCCAGTAGCTATGGAGCCAGTCCTGGAACTTGATCTGTAGACCAAGCTGGCCTGGAACTCACAGAGATCTGCTGCCTATGCTTCCCCAGTGCTGGAATTAATGGTATGCGCCACCACTACCCAGCTTTTCCAGCCTGTTTTAAACTGTTTTTTAAGTTTTTTTATTATGTGCATGTGTGGTGTGTGTGTCCATGCATGATGGGGCTAGGCTCCCGTGTCACAATGTATTTTGGAGGTTTGAGGACGTCTTTGTGGGTTCAGGTTTTCTCCTTGGACCTATATGTGGATTCTGGGGATTGAACTCAGGTCCTTGAGTTTTCCTGGGCAAGGGCTTTACCTGCTGAGCTATCTCACTCCCCTTTGCTTTGGGTTCTGTTTTTGAGATAGGGTCTTTCTCTGTAGCCTGGGTTGTTCTGGAATTCACCATGTAGCCTAGGCTGGCTTTGAACTAGGGAAATCCTCAGCAACCTCCCAAGAGTTGAGATCAACAAGTATCTACTGAGTACCTACTGCGTCACAGGCACTGTAGAACAAGGTATTGCAGGTCCCTAACATCAAGGGTGGAGGAAAGGACAGTGAACTATGAAAACAGGAATAAAGAGGGCCTGGAGTAGTCAAAGAGCAGTCTAGGCACATGGAATCCTCTGTGCAAAGGCCCTGCGGTAAGAAAGAAAACAAGCTACTGAGGTGTGGTAGTAAAAGTTGAGGGGAAGTTATGTGATTTAGATCTGGCCCTAAGATCACCTTATGGCCCAGGGTTTTCACCTTACAAGCAATGTAAAGATCACTAGCCCTCATCAGGTATACATACTGGAGAGGACAAAAACGAATGAGGGTAGGCCAGGGAGGTGTCTCAGTGGGTAAAGCTATGTGTGTGTGTGTTGAAAGTCTAAAACCCTGGAACACATGTGGAAAGAGTGAATAGACTCCCCCAAAGTTATCTGCAACACAGTCAACATGGTATATGCACAACACACGCGCACACACACACACACACTAGCACCATTTGGCATGTTCTTTACCCATGCTTCAGCGCCTGCTGTCTTCTTGTTTTCTCCAGTACTTCCCCCAGCTCTGTCAGCTTCCATGCCATGTCCCCATGTGGTGATCCTGCTTCTACCCCGCCCCCCCACCCAGCCCAACCCGGAGTCCTGCTTGGGTGACTTGCTGAAAGCAGGATGTAAAACTCACACTCCAGACCTGGGGCTTGGAGCTGTCTCTTGGCTGTCATTGCCTTTGCCCCTAGTTGCCTCCATCCTGGGAAAGTCATCCTGGGACTTGGGGCTAGAGAGAATGACATACATCTGTCATTGACATCGATGCCATAACAAGTGCATGAGGGGGACTCACACAGACGTGGGCCAGCCTTTATTGTGAGAGATAAGCACATGGAAGAGGAAAATCAGCTCTCACAGGACTGCAATAGGAGATAGCTGGTATTGGAAGGTGAGACACAGAGCAGGGAGAGAGAGAGAGACGCTGTTAGGAAATGACTTAGTGGACGGACGGAGGCAAGGAACGGGAAGAGAAAGCAGTGAATAAAACCAGTGACTGAATCCTGGGGACAAGCAGGCTGGACTTCTTGGAGGAGTCTGTGATGGAGGAGAGCCCTCCTCATTTTCGGGCACCCAGTGCCAGGGCAACAATAAGGCCGACGACCAACAGGAACATGGCGACAGACAGCAACACTGTGATGACCACCATGCCTCCTGTCCGGGCCATTCCTAAACCGATAGACTCCATGTTCCTTCCTGTCAGAAGAAGAAAACTTTTGTGGGTTGGAGGGGGGCCCCAGTCAAGCCAGGACTTACAGCTTAGCCTGGCGATCCAACTAGCCAGCAGTTCAATAACTATGGACCTCTCAGAGCAACACTTAGGAGTCACCAAGGAAATTTACTAAAATACCATTCCTCCACTCAAGGAGCCTTTAGTTCAGCAGAGAGTGAACAGGCAGTGGCCATAGCAAACTTTTAGCTGGGGAGGGAGAGCCCTCTGAAAACAGTTTTGTTAACTCGTTCTAGGGGATAAAGCCTGGAGCTCAAGGAGGTGTGTGGGCACTTGAGGTGTGAGAGAGGTAGGCATTTTACTTACGAGGAAGCGTGGACATTGGGGTCTCTGGACTGGACTCGGTCGATGTCCCCTTCTGCACTCGGTAGGAAATGCTTTAGAGGTGGGAGTTGGGAGAAAGCAGAGATCCCCAGTACGTACCTGGCACTTGGGAGGAGAGGTACCAGCCCCCACTTTCATAGCTACGCCCCCAGCTGTGCCCTCCTGGGGCGGAGGCTTACATTTCATACCCTTTATCTGTGCCCTCTTCTGCATGCTTACCAGCATCCCCCAACTTCTCTTTCTGTATCCCACCCCCACGTGTGTCCGTCCGGTACCTACTAGTATTTAGTTCCTGGTGTTAGGTTTGTCACTTGATAGGCGCTGAGCCGCGTGACGGTGAAGCCAGCCCCACTGTCCACCACACTCACTAGCTCCCTGCGCCCGCGGCATGGAGGCACCATAAAGACTGATTTAACCACTGATGGGAAACAGGATTGAAAGGCAAGGTCAAATTTCTAGCAGTCCCATGGAGAATGGGCAGCTCTTGGGTATCGAAAGAGGGATTAACATGGAAGCATAAATAGGTACAGGGGAGCCGACCTTTGCTGTCGTTGGCTCTCCGGACCATCAGTGTAGCATTGCCTCCAGTGAGGTGACATGGGGGCAAGGCAACTAGTAGGCTTTCTGTTAGCGCTGGAGACAACAGACCAGAGAGGCTTGAGATGTTGAAGTCTGTTAGAAAGTCAGGAGGGAAGGCAGATGGAGTTAGCCCCGCTATCAACTTAGATCTGACTGGGGGTCATTGAAAAGGGCGCAGTCTGGACAGGCCTGTGTGAATCTGACCACCAGATGGCAGGCTTGAGCTGCAGATGGTGGCTACTCTGAGCTCCCTGGGAGACAGACTATACTGTAACAGCCAGTCAGTTCCCAACCTCACCTCACGCCACCCACACAAACCCTGGACCCTTCCCACACTTCTCTACTCCAGGGTCAGGAAGAAGCCTAGGAATTCGTCACCATATCACTACCATCAGCAGCCCTCAACCCCAGACAGCTAGACCAACACCTTCTTTGAGAGTCCTGGAAGAGACAATGTTCCCTGTGGAGAGCTCTAGAACCCTCCTGGCTCCCACCAGAAATACAGACCTGCAGCCCCGGGAGCTAGGACAGCCAGCAGAATCAAGGGCAATGTCTGGACAGGCAGCGTGGGTGTCATACTGCGCTGGGAACTAGATCCTGGAACAGACTGGGGCTTCCTGAGACCAATGAGGCCCTGCCCCAAAGTGGCTGGTTTTGTCTTGGGGTGGGAGGGGCTGTTGGGAATCCAGTCCAACTTGCCCCTTGGACACTGTAGCCTCAGGGAGGGCCCCTAGACAGGTTTTTCAGGATGGGGAGCTGGCCCTCAGGACCAAAGGGGTTGCCTTGGCTGGGTCCTGGCAGCTTACCTGGAGATGCAGAGGAGAATGACTCCTCCTTCGAGAACACCCATGTGTGAAGCAGAGGGTTCCTCTTTGTGTGTTTCCAGCCTCAACGGTAGAGGCTGCTTCTTCCCAAGGAGGTAGGAATCTTCTTAGGAGGCCCATGAGTTCTGAAGTTTGTCTGCAGGGAAAACTCCAAGGGTCGAAAGGGCTTTAGTTAGCAAGAATGCAAGAGAAGGAGACTGGTTGAATAGGGTAAGGATAGCAGAGTCAGAACTCCAAACCCTGGTGTCGACTGAGGCCCAAGACACTGTGGCTCTGGGAGAAGTTGAGGGTGTCAATGGGAGCCTTCAGATTTCTGAAGAGGGTGGGGACAAGGGAGGCCAGAAGAAGGGGGCTTCCAGAGAGGTGGATGCTGGTTCAGTTCATCAAGAATGGTGGGCTGTGGAGTAGTCACAGGTAGCAAGCATTTGTTCAGGTGGTGGAGAATAAAGAAGAAAAACCTCAGAAAACAAGAGACAGGAGGATTCTGAGTTCCAGGCCAGCCTGGGCTACACAGTGAGACTCTGTCTCAAAAAAAGTCAAGAGGGGCGTTAGTGGTGCACACCTTTAATCCCAGTACACAGAAGGCAGAGGCAGGAGGATCTTTGTGAGGTCAAGGCCAGCCTGGTCTACAGATCGAGTTCCAGGACAGCCAGGGCTACACAGAGAAACCCCTGCCTCAACAAAACAAAACAAAAATCAGTCAGAATAAACAACAAAACCCCTCAAGACAAGCCAGCAACCACAAAAAGATGAGAAAGGGCTGGGGGGTGTAGCTCAATGGTAATTGCATGAGGCTCTGGGCTTCAGTCCCAGGAACCACAAGACAAACACTATTTCCTAGTGTCCTTCACCCCAGGTTAAATGAGAGAAGTAAAGGAAGTTTTCCAACCAGAGGGAGAGGAGTGTGATGTGGGTTTAGACACCCCTACTCTGAACGATGAGCAGTGAAGGGCACTGAATGCCCTCACCCTCTTGATCAATGGCCATCTTGAGTGACACTGCCTTTTATAGATGTGGAACCTGAGACTCAGACAGGATTTCACTGGAAAATGGTCAGAGGGGGTGAGCTTTTTTAGATTGGGGTACTCTACAGGGCCTGAGCTCCGTACCCTCAGTGTCTGCTCCAGGAACCACCTACTTTCCCCAGTCCTAGAGAAAGGGTCAGGGTCCTGGCAGAGGAGTGGGACTTGTGAAGGGCTGAGGGTTATGTCTTCCCCCATGGTGGGTGGGTTCAAAGCCTGGGATGTGATGGGGAAAGAAATAAAGACAGAGCCTGGGGGCTCAGACAGAGAGCAACAGGGCTTGTACCAGTGTCTCCAAAGTTACTGGGCAATGGGCTATCATGGCATCGGTTCAAGCAGGCTTCTGATTCAGAGGGTCTGGGGTAAAGCTTGAAACTACACTTCTTTATTTTTAAATTACATTTATTATCTTGTGTATGTGTATGCCCTCATGTGGCACAGAGCACGTGTGGAGGGCAGAGAACAACCTGTGGGAGTTGGTTCTCTCCTTTCATAATGTGGTTTCTGGGGGTATCAAAACTCCGATCACCGGGCTTGGTGGCAAGAGCCTTTACCTGTTGAGCTGTTTCCTAAGACTGAATTTCTAAGGTTCTCTCTCTCTCTCTCTCTCTCTCTCTCTCTCTCTCTCTCTCTCACACATACACACACACTCACACACACACACACACACACACACACACACACACACACACACACCTCAAATGGGAAGCAGGACAGAGGTTTTTCTCATGCTGCCAGGACAGACTGCCTTTGGGTGGAGAACTGATTTCTGTGTTTCCTGCTCCTTGGCTTTTGTCCCCTTTAGATGAGATCTTATCCTTACTCTACACACTTGAAGAGCCACACACAAAGGAGATCTTAAGGTGGGGAAGAGGGAATGATGGAACGTCAGGGTCAGGAGATCTTCCTAGCATGAGTCAAAACCTCATCATGGCAGGGTGTTTACTTATGGGCTTGGGAGCTATCTCCTCCCATTCGGACTAAGGAGGAATCAGGGAGAGAGTGGGTTTAAGGCAGATCAGATTGTATTGGTCTGTTCTTTAGCCCCATTTGAAATTAGGAGTGAGACAAAGTGACATAGGAAAGGGCATATCTCTGGTCACATTTTAAAGGCATATGAGGGTCCTGTGCCTTTAAGCTCTCCCATCTCTCTGCAATCTCCCCCTCTCACCTTCCCCACCCTAGCCCTCCCCAGGTTTCTGGAGGAGCAGAGTTGCGTCTTCTCCCTGCCTTGCCAGGCTGCTCACTGGCTGCTCTAGAGGCTGTGCTTTGCGGTCTCCATGGAAACCATTAGTTGCTAAGCAACTGGAGCATCATCTGTGCTGAGCTCTCGCATCTAATTATCCCATCACAGTGGCTGAGAAGGGTTTGGGGAGCTGAGAGGAGGGGGAGGCCCAGCACAGGAGCAAGAGGATAACTCTTTCAGAACAGCAGCTTCACTGACAGTGGGGAAATCATTTAAAGATACAGCACCCCGCTCCTCTGGAGAATCTCCTAATGGCCAAGTAAGGGAACCAGGGTCACATGTCTGGAGTCTCTCTCCTGAACTCTGTCTTCTCTGTTGTCCTTTCCTTGATTCTAAACTCCCTCAAGTTCCTACTTCTTCCTCCTCCCAAACGCAACCAACAGGCAGTTGTTGAGTACCAGGTATGCCCCTGGGATAAACTAGGCAGGAGAGACTTAAAAGTAAGATAACTTCTTGCCCTTGGGTAGCTCTTCATTTCACTCTACTGCTCAATCAGCTCTTAAAGCGAACCTCCTCTTCCTGGACTAGAGTCTCTTTCCCCCTTCTTCAGCTTCAGTCGTTCTGCAGCTGGAAGAACCAGGAGCAGAACCCAGGTTGTCTTGTCATGTCCACAGTCCTGCTTCAACTAGGCCACTTCTCTACCTCCCAGTCAATTAGAAAAACATGTCTGCAGTCTCCAGGGCCCGTGCCAGATGTTGATGGTGACCATTGTCCTCCTGTCTATGAGAGATGCCTTATAACTAGGTGAGCCATTTTGTTTGTTTGTTTTTGGTTTTTCGGGGCAGGGTTTCTCTGTGTAGTTTTGGAGCCTATCCTGGCACTCGCTCTGTGTTTGTATGTTTTTGTTTTTGTTTTTGTTTTTGTTTTTTTTGGTTTTTCGGGGCAGGGTTTCTCTGTGTAGTTTTGAAGCCTATCCTGGCACTCGCTCTAGAGACCAGGCTGGCCTCGAACTCACAGAGATCCGCCTGCCTCTGCCTTCTGAGTGCTGGGATTAAAGGAGTGTGTCAACAACGCCCGGCTAGATGAGCCATTTTGAACCTCATTTCTTTTTTCAATTTGAAGATGGGAAGGCTCCAGCCCAGTGCACACCTTTAATCCCCAGTGCTTGGGAGGCAGAGGCAGGTGGATCTCTGTTGACTTCAAGGCCAGCCTGGTCTGCAAAGTGAGTTTCAGGACAACCTGAGCTGTTACACAGAGAAACCCTGTCTTGAAAAACCAAAAACAAAGAAAATAAAATAAAACAAACAAAAATGGGAAGGCTCATTTCTGAATTCAGGTCTAGCAAGATATGACAAGAGTGAAAATAATTTAGGGCACTGGGTAGTTGTGGCACATGCTTTTAATCCCAGCACTTGGGAGGCAGAGGCAGGCGGGGCTCTGAGTTCAAGGATAGCCTGGTCTCCAGAGAAAGTGCCAGGATGGGCTGCAAAGCTACACAGAGAAACCCTGTCTCAAAAAAACAAAATCAAAACAACAACAAAAAACAAAAAAGACAGTGTGCAAAGATGCAGAAAGTGTGCATGGAGAGCAATTATAATCCAGGCGAGCGGTGGACACCTGCAGATCAGAAGAAGTGCTCACCAAATGCTAGTTTGTTGCAAAGTTTGAGGACATTCTTGGGTGATCTAAAGCTGGGAAATGCTCATGCAGGCTTAGATACTTTTCCTTTTTCTTTTCTTTTCTTTTCTTTCTTTCAAGTCAACATAACCATTTACCCCAAACGTTCCAGCTTTGTGACCTTGGCTAAGTTGTTGCTTCAAGTTGTAGTTTCCACTTCAGGTGGGTTTATTTAATTTATTTTATGGGTTATGAGTGTTTTTCCTGCATGTATATCTGTGTACTACTCCTCAGCCTGGTGCCCTGTGAGATCAGATGAGGGCATCAGATCCCTGGGACTTGGGTTTATGGATGGTTGTGAGCTGCCATGTGCGAGCTAGGAACTGAGCCCAGGGCCTCTGTAAGAGCAACAAGTGCTCTAAACTGCTGAACCATCTCTCCAGCTTCTGTAGTTTCCACTTGTATAGAAACAGTAAAACCTGTCTCCTGGGAATATGGTGTCTATCACTCCAACTGATTTATTTAGAGTGCCTAGGACAGGATCTGGTTCAATAAATACTGATTTAATTAATCCATCTTAATCTTTCCTTTTTATTAGCCCTCATTTCAGATGAGGAATGAGGGTGCTGAGGTAATATATGACATCCCCAAGGTCTAAATAGATCAGCATTTGCTTTTCCAGCTATGTTATTGGCACAAAGAGACATGTTAAGGTTGGAAAAGCTTATCCAAGCAAGGGTTAGTGGCCACAGGGTACCAGCTTGTCTGATTCATTTATGTCTAAATAGATCAGCATTTGCTTTTCCAGCTATGTTATTGGCACAAAGAGACATGTTAAGGTTGGAAAAGCTTATCCAAGCAAGGGTTAGTGGCCACAGGGTACCAGCTTGTCTGATTCATTTATTCACTTATTAAACATTGGTAGGGA